TTAATAACATAAATATGTGAAACTTTGTTTTATAGTCTATTTTTTAAATAATCAGAATCTATTTTATACTGTTTTCTTTAAAGGCTTCTCAGTCTAGGATTTGAAAAGTTTGTCAGAGTTGGGAGTATTAGGAAGATTGCCAAGCCAATTTTACCTTACAGGTAAGAATGCTTCATTCCAAAAGTCACAGAATGTTCAAAGAGAAGTACGGCAATTTTATATAACTCTTACCTTAAATCTGGTTTTTGAAGAAAAGCAGAGAAAGCCTTATCTTTTTGTTAGAAAATCTGTATTTTGATTTTTCGTGATGTTCTGAAAAATGGAATAAAGGGGTTTTTAAAATACAGTTCTTTCTTTAGCTTACACGCCGGCTCAGAGAATGAAAACGAACAACTAAAAGAACTGCATGCACTCATGAGAGAAGACCTGACTCCTGTGGAAAGAGTGTATGTGAGAAAAAGTATTGAGCAGCATAAACTGGGAACCAACAGAACGCTGCTCAAGCAGGTGAGAGGAAGCAGCTTCAGTTTGTCTCTTTATATACACTATTCAGATCCCCTAATTTCTGTCAGTAGAACAAGATTTCCTTTGCATAAAACAAACTGCTGTGATAGTTTAGATTCAACTAAGGTCTGTGCGTGTGGATCCCTTGGATGTAGTCTACCTGTGTACGTTTTATGCTTGCTTCAAAGCACTCTTCAAATCTGTGAACAGATCCAACTCACCAGGACTTAGTCGTCCCTTCTCCTCCCCATTTGCCTATCGTTTTGTAGGTTTGAAGAGGAAAGTATAGAGGTGGGAATAGATTCTTGGCAAGTTAAATGAAATTGATTATATTCTTAGAGAAACAGAGAAGAGAAGGTCTCACCTGGGCAAAATATCCAAGTGAAATTCGTCTTTAATTCTCTCCTGGAAAGCCAAGTCCTTCAGGGTCTGCCTAAATGCAAGAAACCAGGAGACACTAGCTTCCAGGTGTTGGGAGCCAAGGCTGGGCACACAGGGTCTCAGGCCATAACAAGCAGCATCATGCCCTTTGTCAAGTGTTTATCCAGGGCAGCCTGGGCATCAGCTGGTAGAGGAGAAAGAAATCAATCAGGAGCTTCCTCCTATGAAAGAAGTGCATGGGGAAAAGAACGGGGATAGAGGAAAAGAGTAGTTGACTTCTCGGTCCACTTGGACATTGGTCACTTTCTGCAAGAGATTTGGGAATATCCACCTGCTTGGGACTCTGTGTTGGTCAGCTATTGCTGAAATAATGCGGCTTAACAAACACAATCTCCATACTTTAAGGTAACAACCTAGGACTCTACAGGTCAACTAGCGTGGCTTGGCTTGAAATTATGGGTCAAGTCTCTCATTCTGAGAACAGTTGCTATGGCAGGATGATCTTCTCCTCACAGATGCCCGAAGTGCAAGAAGGCAGGCCAGATCACACAGATACATTCAGAGCTTCTGTCCGTATCATGTCTGCTAACATTCCATTTGCTGGAACGGGTCGCATGGCCAACCCTGACATCAGTGAGGCAGGGAAGAATACTCTACCTGCTTCTCTGGTGGGAAACACTACCAAGTAACATAGCAACGGGTATGGATGCATGATAATACTGTCCCAGGGAGGGAAGGAGAAATTGGAAATAATACCCAATCTACAACAAGTGTTGGTTCTAGAAGTTGTCAGAGGACCTCAGATCAACTTTCTATTATCTGAATTATAGAGTTAACTCTGTACTCTGTTCTTAACCAAATCCAGAAAGGCTTAGTTTGTGTTCAATTAATGCAAATTAGTCATTTATATAAACTTACCATTTTACTCACCCAGCATATTAATGATATATAAGAATTAACTGTTAATGATTTCTTTGATAATTTTCTTAAATAAAAGCCCAGTTACCAAAATCTGTTGCTCATTGGTATCACCTATTCACAAATGAAAACTATTTAACAGAATTATTTTTTTCAAAGTTTTCTCTAACATATTTCTAAGGTCCAGTCAGACATTCAGACCTGACACATTCCTAAAGTGACATGTCTTTACAATAAACTATTAATAATTTTTAAAAATTGCTTCATAGTAATTACTATTTCCTAGGTCAATAAAAAATCTTTTCTATTGTTAGAATTTCACCAATATGATAATAAATTAAAAGATAATGTAATTTTTTAAAGAGAAAACTTAGTACCTTGGGTTTCTATATTAGGTAATTCTTTAAATTAGAAAAATGCTTCCTGATTCGTAATGCCTTAAGATGATTTGTAATTGGAATTGCTTAGAAAGTACTCATCTTAAAGATAAGTAGAACCCTATAATTTAAGCGCCCCTTTATAAAAAGAATCTTTACTCTTATGTACTTTAGTAGAGCACTTAACATTATGTGACTTTAGGATTTTTGTTTTTAACAAAAAAAACCTGATATGGAACTATTGTGTATGATGAATATTATTTATTATTAAAGAAAAGAGTCTGCGGCCGCCCCGCCCTGACCGCGCCGGATCCCGTCTACCCTCGGAAGCTAAAGAAAATAAGGTGTTTTCTCTTTAAAAAATTCTTAACCTTCGAGCATACTGGGTTTTTTTAATTCATTTAAGAAGGTAAAGATGGCTAATGCTGAACAGTAAATTAAAGTGTACTTGTAGCCTATATCTGAATTTTACAGGTTAAATATTATGCCAGAATGCCAGGCTGGAGTGCAGTGGTCTGATCATAGCTCATTGCAGCCTCAAACTCCTGGGCTCAAGCGATCCTTCCACCTCAGCCTCCCAAGTAGCTGTGTATATGTGTACGTACACATATATACACATAAACACACGTATGTGTGTGCACGGGCATACGTGTATATATCTAGTGGGCTACTAGGCCAATGACCACATCCAGTTAGAAAATTCATAGGCTGGGCATGTTGGTACACACCTATAATCCCAGAGGCCAAGGCGTGAGGATTGCTTTGAGACTAGCCTGAGCAACATAGCAAGACCCCATCTCGACCAAAAAACAAAATAGAAGAATTAGCCAGGCATGTTGGCGCACACCTATAGTCCCAGCTACTCGGGAGGCTGAGGTGGAAGGACCGCTTGAACACTTTAATTTACTGTTCAGCATTAGCCATCTTTACCTTCTTAAATAAATAAAAAAACCAGTGTGCTCGAAGGTTAAGAAAGGATAGTTCATTAGCATATTCAATGTTCTTTGTGGAGAACTTTGGCCTGTGTTTATACAATGCATGTTATCTTTATTTAACCTCATTTAGAAGATAAAATATGAGTCTCATCCTTGTTTTTGAAAAATTCTTGATATTGCAGTACCTTCCTTCTGAATATCAAAGCGTGCCTCTTATTTATTCTTAATGGGCTTGTGGCTTAAGTAGCCTGTAATTTGGCGATTTCCATTTTGTATTATATGTAGGAATAATAAAAATGTGGAGATAAAGTAACCTATGATTTTCAATTGCTAGGAATTAAATTAGGACTAGCTTGCTTTCTGATTTTAGCCTACAAGTTCTTTGGTAAAAACATTCTCTTATTTTCTATTAATAGTTGTTAATTAATAACATTTTTGTTGTAATAAAGGTTCGAGTAGTTGGAGTTACCTGTGCAGCCTGCCCATTCCCATGCATGAATGATCTTAAATTTCCTGTAGTTGTGTTGGATGAGTGCAGTCAAATAACTGAACCAGCCTCTCTCCTTCCCATCGCAAGGTAATCTAAAACAATCTTTTCCCAAGGGCACTCAGATGTCACAGTTATTTCCTCTGTTCAGACCCTTTCCAAACATTTGTGAAAATTCTTAGTAATTCAAGTAGTAAACTTATTTTTAAAAAGTATACAAAGGGAAATTGGGGGGGGGTTAATGTATCAAAATTTTGTTAGGTCACAGTTTAGGCATCTGGATGACATAATCCTTAAAGCATTGATAGCTCTAGTGCTAGGATTCTACTAGAACCTTGCAAGTTTCTCAACTAGATGAAAGGTTGCTCTTTGGTTATAGTTTGAGAGCCTAACTCCCCTGAAGAATGTCCTTCAGTTTCCTTACCTTGATATAATTCATGTTTAGGTTTTGAAAACAATTTTTAGCTTATGAAAGGATGTAAAGTATATAAAGAAAAACAAGTTGAAAAAAACTTGTCTCCTAAAATTAGAAGACCATGAAATCTTATAAGCTGTCCCAGCCAACTGAAACATTGTGCTTTTAAAGCATCTCTTATTGGGGTGTCCTAAAGGTAGTGGAAAGAGTACCAGACTAGGACTCAATAGGCCTGAGTTCTAGTCCTTACTCTGTCCCCAGTTAATGAGGAAGCAGGACACCAACCGTCACGGTTTGCGTGGGACTTGGAAGGTTCCTGGATCATGGGGCTTTCAGTTTTTAGGATGAGTTCATCATCCTACTCAGGAGCCAGGGATGGAAGAGCAGCAGAAGGTAGAGGAGTAATACTACTTGAGCACCTACTGTATACTAAAAACATTACATATTTTCATTTAATTCTTACTACAGCTATGCAAGGTATTAATTACTTCCAGGTTACTAAGAATACTGAAACACGGAGAGACTAAATAACTTGCTGTGTCCATAAATTATAATAGAGTTGAAATTTAGATATAGGTTTGTCTACAAAATTTGGATTTAACCCGAGAGCCGAATTTACTTCACCTCTAAAACAAGGGTTTAAGCCAAATGACTTCTATGCAAGCCTGTAATTCCGAGAGTTTATGGATTCTAAAAATCAGTACGTCCCAGATATGTTCTGTGAAATATGAATTCCATGCAGAGGCAAGGGACACTTATTAGGCTTTCTGTGGAAAAAAATTAAATTATGTAAAAGAGTCTTTAGTGCATAACTTTTCAAAGCCTTAATATACTTACTGGCATTATTGAGCCTTGTTAGCACTCAGGATATTTCATGGGATTTGAATTTTTTAATATATTTTGGAAAACTGCAATAAATGATGTTAATGTACCCTTTTTTCATTGCTTAGATTAATTTTTCAAATTCTGTTTTTAGGTTTGAGTGTGAAAAGCTGATTCTTGTTGGGGACCCCAAACAGCTGCCTCCCACTATTCAGGGTTCTGATGCAGCTCATGAAAACGGGTTGGAACAAACTCTTTTTGACCGACTTTGCTTAATGGTACATCCTGCTGAATTATCGTTTATTTATGATATACTGTGTATGCAGGTTGGTAAGAGAATGAAAATATTAGAAGACCTAGTCCCTGCCTTAAGATGATTTGTAATTGGAATTGCTTAGAAAGTACTCATCTTAAAGATAAGTAGAACCCTATAATTTAAGCGCCCCTTTATAAAAAGAATCTTTACTCTTATGTACTTTAGTAGAGCACTTAACATTTAACGTTTTAAAAAAATTATTAATATATTTTTAATTTGAGGTGGAATTCACTGTCTTAGCCTGTTTTGTGTTGCTATAACCAAACACCAGAGACTAGGTAATCTATAAAGAATAGAGATTTATTTCTCACAGTTCTGGAGGCTGGGAAGCACAAGATCACAGGGCCCGCATCTGGCGAGGGCCTTGGTGCTCAGTCACCCCGCGCGGAAGGTGAAAGAGCAAGAGAATGTGAGAGAGAGTGTGCGGGGGGAGGTGAAGGGGCCCAAACCCACCCTTTTGTGAGAAGAGCATTAATCCACTCAGGAGGGCAGAATCCTCAAGGCCTGATCACTTCTTAAAGGTCCCGCCTCTCAACACTGTTGCCCTGAGGATTAAGTTTCCAACACGTGAGCTTTGGGGGACACATTCACACCACAGCATTCCCCTAACATAAAACCACCCATTTTAAAGTGAAGAGTTCAGTGACATTTAGTACATTTCCAGTGCTTTGCAACCACTATCTCTATCTGGTTCCAAAACATTTTCATCCCCCTAGTAAAACCCCACACGCATTTAGCAATTACTGCCTATTACCTCTTCCCTCCAGCTTCTGGCAACCACCAGTCTGCTTCCTGTCTGTCTCGATTTATTTATTGTGGATACTTCATATAAATGGAGTCATACAATACGTGAGCCTTTGTGTCTGGCTTTTTTCACTTAGCATGACATTTTTGAGGTTCATCCACATTGTAGCATGTACTATCTTATCAAGTACATTCATAATGTTATACAACCATCACTTATCCATTTCCAGAATTTTTCATCACCTCAAATAGAAACTTTATACACAGTAAACAATAACTTCCTATTTCTCCTTCTCTCAGCTCCTGATAAATTCTATTCTACTTTCTGTCTCTAAGAATTTGCCTATTTTAGGCACCTCATATGAGTGGAATCATACGGTATTTGTCATTGTATGTGTATCTTATTTACGTGGCATAATGGCTTCAAAGTTCAGCCATGTTGTAGCATATATCAGAATTTTGTTCCTTTTTAAGGATGAGTAATGTTTCACTGCATGTGTATAATACATTTTGTTGACAGATATTTGTGTTGTTTCCACCTTTTGGCCGTTGTGAATAATCTGCTATGAACATTGATGTACAAATATTTACTCGAATCTATTTATTGTTTGCATAGTTCCTGTACTTGTTTTATTTTCTGATGTTCTCGCTTGGGCAGCTCTCTCAGATTTGTATTCTGTGTTCTATTTTCTCAGTTCCCTGAAAATATGGTGGTTGCAGGAGTAGAGGGAGGAGATAGAAATGGGGTTGGTATAGACCTAGGTTAGGAACGTGTGCCATCCTTATTAGCTATTGCGGGCACTTTGTCTTCTAAGGTTTTGTTAAATACACTGTCCCAGGGTTCACTCCCCAGGGCTGGAGGTGTTGCCGCTTTCCCAGAGCAGGGATACTCTTGGGCCTCAGACGTCCCATCAGTTTGATGTACGGTTCATTTCCCCTGTTTCATTGCTCTTACCTGTAGTCCTGGCTACTTAGGAGGCTGAGGCGGGAGGATCACTTGAGCCCAGGAGTTCCGAGCCAGCCTGGGCAAGATAGTGAGACCTTGTCTCTAAAAAAAATAAAATAAAAAAGAAAGAAAGAAAAAAGATAAATATAAAACATTTATAATAACCTCACTGCCCTTAAGAGAAAACCCTTGAGAATATTTTAGTATTTTTTCCCACCTTTTATCCTAGGGCTTTATGCATATAACAAACATATGTATTTTTGCATAGTTGAAACCATAAAATAAATATAATTTCTATTCTGCCTGTCTTTTCTTAACTTTGCATAATAGTAAATCATCTCCCCTTATTATTTTTTGTTATCATGTTTTGTAATCATCACTATTGTCATAAATATGATTAATCACTAAATATAATATTGTGTGGATATACCATAGCCTAGTCATTTCTCTAACATTAAATATTTAGTTGTTTCCACTTATAAATAATGATCCTTTGAGCATTTTTTTCTTTCAGCATTTTTATACTTGACACATTTTGTCAGAGGTTTCACAGAAGCCAACTGACTTAGACTTATATAAAAACTTAGACAAATTTATGCCCCAAAGAGTGCTCAGATTGACTATTTTTCATACATTTTTTTTTCTCATAGAAGATTCTTTGTCCATGTGGTCTTTAGTCTTGCATTTAATTTCAGATGTATTATTATGGGAGTACCTTGTAGCTATTCAAAGTGTCCTAACAATACCACAGAACTTTCGAGAAAGAACGTGCTCCAGAAGAGCAGTAAAGGAGATGGGACTTGGATTTTGTATGTTAACCAAATCTGAAACTTCTTTGAAGATTCAGAATGAAAAATAACTTTTACTCAGGAGGAAAGTTAATACATGAATTATCAACAACACTTTCTAATTTTTAAAAATATTTCTTTTTAATTTAGTGCTAGGCCAACTCCAGATAGATTATGAAAGCTTATAGTCTATTCTGTCGTGGTTGTAATTCATCTCCTAAGCCCACAATATAGAAATATTTTACTTTTAAAAATATCATTTTTCTTTCCTTAGAGAAAAAAAAGTTAGGTTTTGATTTCTTACTTTTTTGCATTTAAATTTCTCAGGGTCACAAGCCAATTCTCCTGAGAACTCAATACCGTTGTCACCCTGCAATCAGTGCTATCGCTAATAATTTGTTTTATGACGGAAGCCTCCTGAATGGCGTTTCAGAAACAGAGAGGAGCCCTTTATTGGAATGGCTACCAACGCTGTGTTTTTACAATGTTAAAGGACTAGAGCAGGTAAATGACATTAACGTTGATGGGAGTCAACATGGTTTAGTTTCCTGTTTAATTTTACTGTTGTTTGTATGATTTTACTTGGGCTTTCCATAGCCTTTCTGGGAAATGTAATTTAGGATCTGTTTCCTACTCCAGATTGAAAGAGATAACAGCTTTCATAATATGGCAGAAGCTGCTTTTACACTCAAGCTGATTCAATCACTGATTGCAAGTGGAATAGCAGGCTCTATGATTGGGGTGATCACGTTATACAAATCCCAGATGTATAAGGTTTGTATTACATATTACAATATTTGTCACATATTAAGTATTGCAATTATATATTACAACATTTGATATTACATTTGGAGCAGTTTGGTTTGGTGCTTGAAAAACTTTTGGTACTGTAATTAATGTATTAAAAAAGAAACATTCTGATGTGTTTCTGGTCTGGCTTTTTTTCTGTATAATTAAATGTAAACCTAACAAGGTTTAATTAAATTTAGTTTACAGCTGTTGGAACAAAAATGCAAATAAACAAATTAGAGGGAAGAAAATATGGTGTATGCTTTGTGTTTTGGGACAGATGGGATTGAATCTCTGTTTTCCAAAATGTTCTTTCATTATTATTACAGTTTTTCAGGAAATCAAGGATAGATAACCAGATATTAATGTACACTGAGCCAATTACTTCTAGCTAGATTTCTCTTTTTTCTTTTACAGTTTTTTCATCTGTTTCATCATTAGTTTTATTTATCACCTTCAAATTAGCATTTCCAAATAAATTCCCAGCAACAGATAAACCATCATTTTTTTTTTGCAAATAATATTTTTTAAATTTCAAAATATTAAGGTGGTACAAATGTTTTTGTTACATGGATACCTTTTATAACGCTTAAGTCGGGGCTTTTAGTGTATCATCTGAATTGTGTTCATAGTACTTGGTAAGGTAAGTTTTTACCCTTCCCTGCTTCTTGATTTCCACGACCTTTACATCTCTTCATGCCCTTGTGTGCCGATCAATTAGCTCCCAATTATTAGAGAGTGATTGACACATCACTTTTGCTTCATAACTCATATTGTCTTCTAGTCACTTATCTATCATTTTAGAAACTAGCTGAATCTATGTGAGTTATAGAGGAGAATGAAAATTATCCAGTATTAGTTAAATTAAAATGGTTGTGGTGAGCAAGTTCAGAGGCTTAAGTTCTTCCTGGCCCGTGCACTGCACGACCCCCGTCTTCTCCCTCCGCAGCTTTGCCATCTACTCAGTGCCGTGGACTTGGACCATCCCAACATGAAAACTGTGCAGGTGTCCACAGTAGATGCTTTTCAGGGAGCTGAAAAGGAGATCATCATTCTGTCCTGCGTAAGGACAAGACAAGTAGGATTCATTGATTCAGAAAAAAGAATGAACGTGGCATTGACCAGAGGAAAGAGGCATTTGTTGATTGTGGGGAATTTAGCCTGTTTGAGGAGAAATCGACTATGGGGGCGTGTGATCCAACACTGTGAAGGTAAAGTAAAAACATGTTTAATTCAAGCGTTTCGAATTAACACTGACTTTTATGACTTAATATTGGGGTGGTTCCTGCAGGACCAGCTCTGAATTTGCCACTGTGGGAGGTGACTGACAATAGTATGGGGACCACTATAAAATAAAGCATAGTTGTCTCGTGTTTTATATCTTTTTAAGGAAGGGAAGATGGATTGCAACATGCAAGCCAGTGTGAACCACAGCTGAACCATCTCCTTAAAGATTATTTTGAAAAACAAGCAGAAGAAAAACAGAAGAAAAAGAATGAAAAAGAGAAAATCTAAAGATAAGTCTCATTCACAAAAAGACATGGTATAGATATTTTGTATTTAAGTAAATTCAGATTCATTTTACACTACATATTAATTTTTTAAACATTTTTATTACTCTAAAACCCTTTTTGTAAAAATACTTTATTTCTGTGATATTTAAATAATATACTA